ACAGGTGGGCGGAGTTAGTGGGCGCACTGCTGGGCACAGGTGGTCGGAACTTGCGGGTGGCACTGCTGGGCACCGATCATCAGGGCACTGATCATCAGTGCCCTGATGATCGGTGCCGATCCCCGCTCTGACAACTGCCGGTTCTCGGCAGTACTTTCCCCACGATCTGACAGCGTGAGGAAAGTGCAGCCGAGAACCGGCACTTGCATTTCCCTCTGATCAGCGTGTCATTGGACACCGCTGATCACGTGGTAAAAGGCCGCTGTGATTGGCCTTTTACCACATCACGTGATCAGCTGTGTCCGTAGGACACAGCGATCACGGAGATCGCTGGGTGCGTGCGCGCCCACTGGGGCGCGCAGGAGAGCGCGTTCTGGGGGGACGTCATATGACGTCCACTCAGAACTGGCCGGCCGCAGTGCAGCCATCATTCGGCTATCTGCGGTCGGCTACTAGTTAAATTAGCCTCAGAACCTGTGTGATTAACCACTTGCCAACTGCACTATAGCCGAATGAGGGCTACAGCTTGGTAGTCCAGTTCTGGGAGGGTGTCATATGACATCCTGACAGAATGTGCCCTCAGCAGAATTAAATAACACCCATCATTGGTAATAAATAAACCCCAGATCATTGGTGTGAGAGGAAGGAAATGAATCCTTATTGTTTGGTGTCAGTGGGAAGACAACAGAATGCATATCTTTGATGTAAGTAGAAGGTAAAAAGCCCAATATCATTGGGAGTATCAGAAAGACTAAACATAACCTATGCTGTTGATGTCAATGGGATTAAGTAACCCTCATGATTTGTGTCAGTGAAAATAGAGTGCAAACCCTATATCACTGGTGCCACTGAGATAAAATAAGCCCTACCATTGGTGTCAGTGGAAATAAATTAAACCCCACATCATTGGTGTCAAAAAGATTACATATGCCCCATCATTGGTATCAGTGAAAGGAAGACAATCCCCATATTACTCGGATCAGTGTGATCATATAAACCCATTTGTTGGTGTCAGTGGGTGAGAATAAGACCCATACGGTTAGGATCAATGGGATTAAAATAAGTTGTATATTCTTGCTGTCCGTGATATAAAATAAACCCCATTGTAGATGTCAGAGGAAAACAAGCTTCATATATTTATTTTCAGTATGATAAAATATACTTCAAATCACTGTTGTTAAAATCCATATCATTATCACCAGTGGGAGGAAATTCTGCCCTATTGTTGGTGTTTGTAGAGGAGCAATATCTCCCAAGTTGACTGTGGGAATAAAATAAAATGGTATCTGTGGAGGGACAATAGGCTCCATAGTATTGTCTGAGGAAAATAAGCCACATATCATTGGTGTTAGTTGGTTGGAAAACCACATTGTTAGTGTCAGTTTGAGAAAAATAAGTGGATGGGGGAAACAAAGCCCATCATTGTTGTTAGAGGGGCTGAAAAAAAACTCGTCATGGGGTAATAGAAGCATCATTGTTGGTGTCAGTGGCAGGAAAATAAGCCCCATTGTTAATGTCAGTATACATAGTCACATAGTTAGTCTGGCTGAAAAAAGACAAAAGTCCATCCAATTCAACCATTAAAATAAAAAAAAGTTATAAATCCTATACCCACAGTTGATCCAGAGGAAGGCAAAAAAAACCCCAGCAAAACATGATCTAATTTGCTCCTGCAGGTGAAAAAAATTCCTTCCTGATCCCTCGAGAGGCAATCAGATATTCCCTGGATCAACTTTACCTATAAATGTTAGTATCCAGTTATATTTTGTGTATATATTATATTCTGTGCCTTTTTTAAAGCAATCCAATGAGCTTGCCAGAACCAACTCTTGAGGGAGTCTATTCTATAGTATGAGAAAAATAAGCTCCAGATTTTGTATCAGTGGGGGAAAAGGAAGCCTCCTGTCATTGATGTCAATTAGATTAAATATTAACCATTATTGGAGTGACTGGAAGGAAAGTAAGCCTTATTGTTGGTGTTAATGGAAAGAATATAAGACACATATTGGGGGTATAAGAAGGAAGGAAATAAGCCCCATATTGTTTGGGTCAGTGTTAAAAAAAACAAAACATGTTGTTGCCAGTGGAATGAAGTAAACCCCATTGATGGTGTCATTTGGTAGACTCCATATCATTGGTGTTAGTGGGCAGAAAATAAACTCCATATCATTGGTCACAGTAGGGGGGGAAATGAGCCCCATATATTTGGAGTCAGTGGGGTAAAATAAACACAATGTTGTTGGGGTAAGCAAGATTAAAAAAAAAACTCCTCATTGGTAGAAGAGTAAAATAAACCCCATGTCATTGGTGTCAGTGAGATAACATAAAAATAATCTCCGTATCATTGGTGTCTCTGAGAGGAAAATAAGCCCCTTATCATTGGTGTTAGTGCGATTAAATAAACCCCATGTTGTTAGTGTGCACGAGATTAAATAAACCCCATCATTGGTGTTAATGTATGGAAAATATTCTTTATGTCATTGGTGTCCATGAAATGAAGTCTCATTGTTGGTGTGTCAGTGGGAGTAAAATAAGCCCCATAACATTGTCGTGGGCAGTGCCAGATCAAGGTTATCCTCTGCCCAAGGGGGGTTTAGGATTTCAAACTGCGCCCCCATTTCCTCATAATGTATGCACCCAAACATTTTCTGCGTCTGGGATTCCACTCCTAGATGAAACCTTGTTTATCTCAGCATGGATCCAGAAGTGCGCAGTGATGTCATGGAGCCTGTGTTCTCTGTGTGCTGTGTCCCTGCTCTGTCCCTCTGGCGGTCTCCTTGCACTGTGAATAGTATTGAGCCAGCCAAAGGTAAAAGGAAAAGCAGGACACACATGTGCTGAGAAGGTAGGGTTGTCACCTCATCCCTTTAAAACCGAACACATATTAACCACTTCAATACCGGGCACTTTTATCCCCTTCCTGTTCAGGCCAATTTTGAGCTTGCAGCGCTGTCACACTTTGACAATTGTGCGGTCATGCAACACTGTAACTATATGACATTTTTATAATTTTTTTCACACAAATAGAGCTTTGTTTTGGTGGTATTTAATTGACGCTGGGTGTTTTATTTTTGCACTATAAATGAAAATTAGAGCAAAAAATGTAAAAAAAAAAAAGTTTTTCTTTGTGTCTATTATAACATTTTGCAAACAGGTAATTTTTCTCCTTCACTGATGTGCATTGATGAGGCTGCACTGATGGGCACTGACAAGGTGGCACAGATAGGCAGCACTGATGAGCTCCACTGATGAGGTGGCACAGGTGGGTATTGATGAGGAGGCACTGATATGCAGCAATGATAAACACTGATAGGCAGCACTGATGGGCACTAATGGGCAACACTGATGGGAGGTGATAACTGACGGCACTGACTGGCGGCACTGATGGGAGTAAATGCTAGGCAGCACTGAAGGGTGGCACTTCTGGGCGGCTCTGATCATCAGTGCCGATCTGCTCCGTGACAGTTGCCGGTTATCGGTAGTACTTTCCTCACACTGTGACAGTGTGAGGAAAGTGCTGCCGATAACCGGCAACTGTATTTACTCCGTGATCTTCTGTGTCATTGGACACAGCTGATCACATGGTAAAAGGCCGCTGTGATCAGCCTTTTACCTCATCATGTGATCAGCTATGTGACACAGCGATCATGGATGGATGTGGATGGATGGATATGAGTCATATTTTATAACACTGACACCAAAAATATGGGGACTTGTTTTTCTCCAGCTGACACTAACAATATGGAATATTTTCCTCCCTCTGATACCATGAAGGGATTTATTTTTTTCCCCACTGACACCAACAATTGAGCTTATTTTCCTCTCACTGTCCACAGATATATGGTTCCTATTTTAATTCAACTGACACAATCAATGGGTCTTATTTTCCTCCCACTAACTGCTGCCAGGTGGTAGAAGTGCCATCCACTATGCCACTGTGCTGCTCTAATTATTGTCCTCTATCTGATGTAGCCAGGGTCAGGCTGGGTCATTCTGCAATTCAGGGACATCTGCTGCACAGACTAAGATTCCCTTTCTTCCCCTCTAGTAAACACATCATCATTCCCTGCTGATAGAGTGGGAGGTGTGTCTGAGAAGCAGAGGATCTTGAGATTTGTAGTCCTATCGCCTAGAGACACTATATTTGTCAGCATTGCCAGGACTACATTTACCCGATGAGAGAAAAACGGAAGGGCACCCTGGGAGGCAGACAGTTTCCCCTGCAGCAGTTGCGCGGGCTCTCTTGGCGAAGGGACTTAGAGGCTGACAGAGGGGAGCGTGTCTTTTTTCCCTTTCAAGACCAGGCTGCGGCTCCACTGTCCAGCACAGTAACCCTGTTCGTCAGTCCAGCATCACCCAGCACTATGGGGCAACTCTCAGCTTTCCAGGGACCGCAGTAATCTCTGGGAATCGGGTCAGCTACTGCTGAGCACTTTGCAGGCATTACTAGCTACTGTCATGATTGATTGTAAGGAGGCCATCCGGAGCCACGCTACTCTGCCAGAAGCCTGACCCTCCACAGCAGATTTCGGTAGTGTCATCTCACAGGGGTCTGGTGAGCAGGTGCAAGCCCAACATTTTTCTTAACACAGTATAGACATTGCATGCAGACACTGTTATCTCCCCTCCTTACATACAGTAGAAACAGAGAAACGTGACGGCAGAAAAAGACTGAGTGGTCCATCGATGCTATAACTTTCACACAAAGCAATCAATATACACTTAGTGGGATTTTTTTTACCAAAAAAAAAAGTACCGAATTTTCCGGCGTATAAGACGACTGGGCGTATAAGACGACCCCCTACTTTTCCTGTTAAAATGTAGTGTTTGGGCTATACTCGCCGTATAAGACTACCGCTCTTCCAGTGCACACCAGTGGGAAGAATCGTGCCCCATCATTGGTGTCAGTGGGAGGAATAGTGCCCCATCATTGGTGTCAGTGGGAGAAATAGTGCCCCATCATTGGTGTCAGTGGGAGGAATAGTGCCCCATCATTGGTACCAGTGGGAAGAATCGTGCCCCATCATTGGTGTCAGTGGGATGAATAGTGCCCCATCATTGGTATCAGTGGGAGGAATAGTGCCCATCATTTGTATCAGTGGGAGGAATAGTGCCCCATCATTGGTATTAGTGGGAGGAGTAAGTAGTGCCCCATCATTGGTATCAGTGGGAGGAATAGTGCCCCATCATTGGTATCAGTGGTAGGAATAGTGCCCCATCATTGGTATCAGTGGCAGGAATAGTGCCCCATCATTGGTGTCAGTGGGAGGAATAGCACCCCATCATTGGTGTCAGTGGGAGGAATAGCACCCCATCATTGGTGTCAGTGGGAGGAATAGCACCCCATCATTGGTGTCAGTGGGAGGAATAGCGTCCCAACATTGGTGTCAGTGGGAGGAATAGTGCCCCATCGTTGGTGTCAGTGGGGGGGAAGGAATAGTATCCCATCATTGGTGTCAGTGGGGGGTGGAATAGTGCCCCATCATTGGTGTCAGTGGGGGGTGGAATAGTTCCCCATCATTGGTGTCAGTGGGGGGGGGGGGGAATAGTGCCCAATCGTTGGTGTCAGTGGGGTGGAGGAAAAGTGCCCCATCGTTGGTGTCAGTGGGAGGAATAATGCCCCATCATTGGTATCAGTGACACCAATGATGGGGCACTATTCCTCCCACTGACACTTGCTAACCCCTGTTCCAATATGGTGCTGCTGCAGCCAGCATATGTGGTTGCAGCAGCACCTAAGCACGCTTAGGCACACTTACCTGCATCTCCTTCACTCGATTTTCGCGGGGCCGCTCTCAGCTCCGCCTCCTCGCCGGTGATTGGCCGCCTGTGTGACTTTCCTGAGCTACAGTTCTGGCGGCCAATCACCAGTGAGGAGGCGGAGCCGAGCAGGCGCGCGAACATCCAGTGGACGAACCGAATGAAGGAGCAGCCGCGCTTCCTGAACCGGATCGTTGTGAGACCGGAGCCAGGTAAGAGACAGCAGCCCTTGCCCAGCCCTGTTTCCCTTCTGTTGGAAGGGGGGGGGGGCGGCGGCGGCACCGCGCCGCCCCCCTAAAAAGTGTCAGCATGCCGTTACCGGCGTATAAGATGACCCCTGACTTTTGAGAAGATTTTCAAGGGGTAAAAAGTCGTCTTATACGCCGGAAAATACGGTAACAGAATACATTTTGGCCTATATTTATGACGAAATTTCAGTTTTAGGGATATTTTTAATGACAGAAATGAGAAAATATAATTTTTATCAACATTTTCAGTCTTTTTTTGTTTATAGCGTGAAAAATAAAAAAGGGCACATGTACTCAAATACCACCAAAAGAAAGCTCTATTTGTGTGAAAAAAAGGGACATAAATTTCATTTATGTACAGTATTACAGTATGCTTTTAACCTACTTAAAAGCTTTGTTGGAAAATACCTTTTGCTAGCCCATTCACACTGCTAGTTGCCATCGCAAAGTGATACCTTTGGGCCCCATCATAAGCTAGCTGAAGACCAAGGATACATTTACCTCCAGGATTTATTCAAAGGATTTAGTCTACAGAGTTTGTCACTGGCTGTTTTGGGTTTTTTTTTTATTGTTGACATAGCACTTGTTTACTTTTAACCACTTGCCATCCTGAGAATTTACCCCCCCTTAATGACCAGGCCTCTTTTTGCTATACAACGCTGCACTATTTCAATTGGTAATTGCACGGTCATGCAATGCTGTACCCAAATTAAATTTATGTCCTTTTTTTTACACAAATAGAGCTTTCTTTCAGTGGTATTTGATCACCTGTGCGCTTTTTATTTTTTACGCTATAAACAAAAAAAGACCAAAAATTGTGAAAAAAAAAACCCCCATAATATTTTATATTTTCGGGTATAAAAGAATATATGGTAAACTCAAAGTTAGTCATACATTTAGGTCAAAATGTATTCTGCTATATGTTTTTGGTAAAAAAAATCTCAATAAGTGTATATTGATTACTTTGTGTGAAAGTTATAGTGTCTACAAACTATGGTATAGATAATGGAATTTACGCCATTTTTTTTAAATACAGCGCTGCACTAGTTTAACTGACAATTGCACGGTCATGCAATACTGTACATAAATGAAATTTATATCCCTTTTTTCACACAAATAGAGCTTTCTTTTGGTGGTATTTGATTACCTGTGCGCTTTTTATTTTTCACACTATAAACAAAAAACCCTGAAAATTTTGAAAAAAAAATTATATTTTCTCATTTCTGTCATAAAAAATATCCCAAAAACTCAAATTTCGTCATAAATTTAGGCCAAAATGTATTCTGTTACTATTTGTTTGGTAAAAAAAAATCCCACTAAGTGTATATTGATTGCTTTGTGTGAAAGTTATAGCGTCTACAAACTATGGTATAGATAATGGAATTTACACAGCTTTTACTTTCTGACTGCCCATCACATTTCTTTAGGTGCTAAAATACCAGGACAGTACAAACACCCCCAAATGACCCCTTTTCGGAAAGTAGACACCCTAACCTATATGCTGAGAGGCATATTGACTCCATGGAAGATTAATTTATTTTCCCCAAGTCTTTGGAAAATGACAAAAACTTTTTTTTTTTTTTACACAAAGTTATTTAAATGATATATTGCTCACACAAGCCATGGGTATATGTGGAATTACACCCCAAAATACATTCTGCTACTTCTACTGAGTATGGGGGTACCACATGTGTGAGACTTTTTCCGAGCCTAGCCACATACAGGAGCCTGAAATCCAATGACCACTTTGAAAGCCTGAAGGTACGTAACTTCCTCATTTCACTTCCTCAATACCTATCACAGTTTCGGAGGCCCTGAAATGCCAAGATAGCACCAAACTCCCCCAAATGACCCCTTTTGGAAAGTATACACCCCAAGGAATTTAATAAGAGGCATGGTGAGTATTTTGCAGATCTCATTTTTTCTCACAAGGTTTTGAAATATAAAAGAAGAAAAAAATGTTTTTGTTTTCTTTCTTCATTTTCCAAAACCTTGTGGCAACAAACGAGATCTGCAAAATACTCGCCATGCTTCTTATCAAATTCCTTGGGGTGTCTACTTTCCCGAAAAGGGGTCATCGGGGGGGGGGGGGGGGGGGGAGGGGGAGGTTGGTGCTATCCTGGCATTTCAGGGCCTCTGAAACTGTGATAGGTAGTCAGGAAGTGTAATGAGGAAATAAAGCCCTTTAAAAGCCTGAAGGTGCTTATTGGATTTTAGGGTCCTGTACTTGGCTAGACTGCCAAAAAGTCTCTCGCATGTGGTATCCCCAAACTCGGGAGAAGTATCAGAATGTATTTTGGGGGGTAATTCCACATATACCCATGGCATGTGTGATCAATAAATAATTTAAGTGACAATTTTGTGTAAAAAAAAAATTTTTTTTTTTAAATTTTCCAAAAATTTGTGGTAAAAAAATAAATTCTTCTATTGACTTAACATGCCTCTCAGCAAATAGTTTGGGGTGTCTACTTTCCAAAAAGGGGACATTTTGGGGGATGGGGGCATTTTATGCCCAGCATTAGAAGTTTATGCCACACGTCACTCACTCTTCTAACCACCTGAAGACCAAGCCTTTTCTGACACTTTTTGTTCACACGAAAAAAAATCGGTATTTTTTCCTAGGAAATGACTGAACCCCCAAACATTATATATTTTTAAAGCAGATACCCTAGTGAATAAAATGGTGGGTGCTGCAATTTTTTATGTCACATAGTAATAGTGCAGTGATTTTTCAAACGCAATTTAAAAAAAAAAAAAAACTTTTTTTACTTTTAATGCACAAAAACAGAATATATTGGCCAATTATTTGGTAAAATATAAAAGATGTAAATAGATACCAAACATGACATGCTTTAAAACTGTGCATGCCCTGTGCAATGGCAACAAACTGCATATATTTTTAATATCCATAGGCAACGCTTTAAAAGCCTTTACAAGATACCATTTTAGATTTACAGAGGAGGTCTAGTGCTAGAATTACTGCCCTTGATCTGTCATTCGCAGCGATACCTCACATGCATGGTACAACCGCTGTTTACATACCGGCACAGGGTCAATGCTCGTGCATGCAGGTGCACGCGCGCAGGGGGAGGGGGGTGGCCCTCTGGTTTGTTTCTGGTTTGTTTCTTTTTTGTAAGTTAATTTGATTTTTTGTATTATTTTTACACTGTCCCTTTCATTTTTTTTTTTAATCACTTTTAATGCGATCACAGGGAATGCAAATATCCCCTATAACTTCAATGGCCATAGAAGGCAGCGGGGGGGGGGGGGGGGCATCTTCTCCAGCTGCTTGTAAAAGCAATCCTGCAGCTAATTAGCCACTGGAATTGCTTTTACATGAAAGCTGATCTCCGGCTGATAACAAACGGTACCAGGATGATGCCTGCAGCTGCAGGCATCATCCTGGTATAACCACTCAAAGTCCAGTGATATACCAGTACGTCCCTGGTCCTTGTCGGGTGTATATGCTATGTTCTTTTTTTTTTTTTATGCAGCCTGTGGACAGAATGAAAAAAATAAAAGAAATATTTGAATTTTCAATAAGAAAAAGTGTATGGATTTGAGTATTGGGCCACGGCACCTTCTGGAAACAAAAGGGCCGTGATAATCTCTTACTGGAATTTTAGGAAGGACACTTCGTCCAGTTGGTTTGTAAATTGCAAAAGCATTATATAAAGCCAACTGAAAGAAATAAATAGACACCTTTTTGTACCAGTGTTGAGCTTTATGGGAAACTAGGTACGGATTCATCATCTGGTTGCTGAAGTCCACCCCTCCCATGTTAGGGTTATAGTCATTATTATTATTATTATTATTACTACGAGTTTATATAGCGCCAAAGGGTTTGCTCAGCGCTGTACAATAGGGGGGACAATACATGGCACAGTACAACAACAACAAACAATGTACGAGGGGTAAGAGGGCCCTACTCTTACGAGCTTACAATCTGACACAAAGGGGTTTCTCAACAATGACAGATACCGCATTAATTTGGACTGTCGCGTCTGTGTGAATGGAAGACAGAACGAAAACATTCCGTTTGTCCTTCCACTTCACTGCGAGGCTTTCTCCTCCTTTCTAAGTCAGGATTTACAAACTGTTGGGAGGAAGTCCAGGTGATTAGGTCGCACAGTGCCACATGAGCCAATTCCAAGATTGTACAAATGTCTAAATAGTGGCACGCTTGCATACAAAATATCCATGTATAAGTGGTACCCCTTACGGAACAAAGATGATACCAAGTCCCAAACTATCTTGCCACTGCTCCCCATGTACTCTGGGCAGTCGGGGGGCTCTACTTCACTGTCTCTTCCCTTATAAACCTTAAATTTGTACGTATAGCCTGTGGTCCTCTCACAGAGCTTATACAATTTGACCCCATATCTGGCACGCTTGCTAGGGATATACGGTTTGAATGCAAGGCGACCAGTAAAGTGAATGAGGGACTCATCCACGCAGATGTATTGCTGGGACATATA